TGAGGCAGGAGGATTCCTGTGAGTCCAAGGCCCTGTCTCAAACAAAACAAAACAGAATAGCTTCCTTTCACTAATGGTATCTATTTTTGCCTCTATATGTAAAGATGTTCTGAGTGAAATAAAATGCTTTTTAAGAGTTTAAAAAAAATATTTGCTAAGGAGTCAACTTTGAGTGTCTTTGATAAAGAAAAACCAAAAATGGCTGTATGAGGCCAGTGCCTGAGATATTTTAGATTTGTAGCTTATCAGCTTCTTACCACTCTTTGTCTGAACTTTACTTTGGAGTTTCAGCAAGACTTCCTCTTTTCCTGCAGTAGGTGTGGCTGAGATTGCTGCTTTGATGTCTGGAGTAGAGTTTAGGGAGGAAAACCTAGGCCTTGGGTCACCCTTGTAAGTATTTGAAGTTATGAAAAGACAGTGGAGGAAGGACATTTAGAAAAGAAAAGAAGAAAAAAAAAAAGTCCTTAGACTGGGAGGAACCAGAGAAGTGCTGGCTGACTAAACGTAGGAGAAGCAGGTTACGGAGGAAGTGCATAGTTTTTCTTAGTACTTTTGTTTCCAGTTGGTTCCCTTGGCCAGCGTTGGCGCAGTGGGCCAGTACATCCTGTTTTATTAAATCCAAGGTTCCAGTTAAGTTTATTCTGTTCTGTTTAATTCTGACAAGTAGTGTTACATGTGCACGTTTGCTTGCTCACAAGGGGAAGTGTTTTACTAATAGCTACTGTTTTAACAAGTGCTTACTATTCTGTGTGCCATTCACTTGGCTTAGGGGTTTTTCATAGGGCATTTTATGCAGTCTCCACCTCAAATTAATGAGCTTTAAAAATCAAACAGGGGCCGGGTGTGGTGGCACAGGCCTGTAATCCCAGCACTTGGGAGGCTGAGGCAGGAAGAGCATTGTGAGTTCAAGACCAGCCTGGGCTACAAAGTGAACTCAAGGCCAGCCTTGGCCTCAACTTCGTGCTGACTCTCAACACAATTAAAAAAAAAACTTAACTATGTACATACACTCATACATATACACACATGGCTTAGTTCGTCTTGAAAGAAAGTTTGCTAAAATAGTTCTTTATCATCAGAGTGTGCCAACAGGCTTTTTTTTTCTTTTAGTGGGTGTGTTTTGTTTTAAAATATAAAAACAGCTAAGCATTGTGATACACTTCTCTAACCCTAGTTGGGGCAGCTGAGACAGGAGGCATATAGGTTCAAGGCTAGCCTGGGCAGTTTAGCAAGATCCAGTCTTGAAAATAAAAAGGACTGGCTGGGTGTGGTGTCACACACCTGTAATCCCAGCACTTTGGAGGCTGAAGCAGGAGCATCACAGTGAGTTCTGAGGCCAGCCTGGGCTACATAGTGAATTCAAGGCCAGCCCAAACTACACAGTGAGACCCTGTCTTAAAAAACAACAACAACAAAAATCTTGCAAGTTTCCCATAATAGATGTATAAGAAGTAACAGGAAACATCAGTAGATTACTGCATTAATAATAGTTGTAGGGGAAGATCTACTAATCAGTACTACAGTTAGTGGGTGAAACTTAAAAACAAGGTATTTATGGGAAATCTATAAAGGTTTATGGAAAACCCATTCTGTATTATGGGAAACCCATTCTGTATTATGGGAAACCTATAAGGAAGATTTTGTTTTTGGTGTTTGAAGTTGGGGCTGAGGTTTTGATAGTTGGGGATGTAGTTCAATAATAATTTTCTTGGGTGTAGAAAACATGAAGAGTCACTGTAAATTAGAAATGACAAAAAAGCTGAGGCAGGAGGATTGTTGCGAGTTTGAGGCCAGCCTGGGCAACAAAGTAAGCTCAAGACCAGCCTGAACTGCACAGTGAGACCTTGTCTCAGAAAGACCCAAAAAAACCCAAAGAAGTTAGAGGAAGTTCTGAATTGCATATGGAATGTAAGGTATAGTGGGATAATTTAGATAGTAGTGGTTACTTTTTTGTTTTTTTTTTTAGTGGTGGTGGGAGTTGAATAGCTACTGTAGCTATTCAACCAAAATAGTAGCTATTCAACCAAGGTCCTTTGCACCTAGCTACATCTTTTATTTTGAGACAGGGTTTTGCTAAATTGGCTAAACTGGGTTTGAATTTGTAATCCTCTGCCTCAGCCTCCTGAGTGCTGGGTTTATAGACCTGAACCACCATGCCTGGCTTTTTCTTTTTTTTTCACCATTTTGAGACAGTCTTGCTAATCAGTAAGTTGCCCAGCTATGCTTTTTTTTTTTTTTTTTCCTCTCCAGGCAGGTCTTCCTTTGTAGTTCAGATTGGCCATGAATTCCCAGTGTTCCCCAGGCTGACTTAGAACTTGCTACAATCCTCCTGCCTCAGCCTCCTGAGTGTTGGCATTACAGCTGTTGCACCATCACCCTAGGCCCAGCTGTGCTTGAATTTGAGCTCTTGCCTAGGCTCCTGTGTGCCACCATACCTGGCTATTAAAAGTTTTACTTCTTGCTTAAATGTAAATAAGGCTAATTGTAATCTAAATTTAAATTATGAGGGATGTTTTGCATTTCACATTTAAATAGATAGCATTTTTTAAAGCAATGACAATATTTGAAAAAGTAGAAGTGTGGGAGAAACTGGCTCTGCAGAGTCAGCTTGGGCAGAGAGAGGAAAAAGCAAAGATAAAGAATACTCTGGAGGATGCGGGGTGGGCTAGGGGTGAGCTGTCTTGCTGTAAACCAGGATATGCAGATAACATTTTTTGAAACTAAACCACAGGGCTGGGTGTGGTGAATCATGCCTGTAATTCCAGCACTCAGGAGGCAGAGACAGGAGAATTGCTGTGAGTTGAAGGCCAACCTGGGCCACGTAGTGAACTGAAGGCTGGCCTGAACTACACAGGGAGACCCTGTCTCAAAAAAAAGAAAAAGAAAAAAAAAATTAAACCACAAAGAAAGAAATGGAAAGTCATATATACCTTCTAAGCTAAAATTGAAAATCATATATACCTCCTGAGCTGGACAATTTAGGGAGACCTTGTCTCAAAAAAAATTATTTAAAATGCTGGATAATGTGCAAGTTTTGGGTATAATCCCTAGTATCACAAAGAAAAACAAATATCCTTTTTAAAGACGAGAGGCCACTGTGTTCAATTTTTTTTTTTAAGTAGGGGCAAAGTTTGGAAAGCAAAAGTGAAGAATGGGAGAGAAAAATTGGCTCTGCAGAGCAAGCTTGGGCTGAGTAAATAGAAAAAGAGGATAAGAGCAAATATAAAAGTACACGCTGTGTCTGCTCAAGGTCAGCCTAAACTGCATAGTGAGACCCCGTCTCAAAAAGACAAAAAACAAAACAAAAACAAAAAGGTGAATTATTTGAGTGTGGCGGTATAGGTCTGTAAACCCAGTCTTTGGGTGGCTGAGGCAGGAGGATGGTGAGTTCGAGGCCAGCCTGAGTACACACATGAGGAGTTTAAAGCCAGCCCGAGCCACGTAGCAAGACCCAGTCTCAAAATAACTAAGGCAAGCAAGCCAATGAAAATCCCACAACAACGTGCAAATCAGATTTTTTTTTTGTCCTTTAGAGTTGTTTAAAAGAACATATGGAAATTGGTCAGAGTGAGGAAGATCTAGAAGGGATTCCTCTGTAAATTATGGGCAGTCTGTTGTGTTCAGGTCCATGAAGGGAATCCCTGGTGATTTTTGTTTGTTTGTTTTTTAACAGTGCTGAGGATCAAACTCTGCCTTGAACATGCCAGTTAAGAGGTCTGCCACTGAGCGTGTCACTAGCCCTAGGGATATTTTCTGAGTTAGGCCTGGCAATGATAGATATACAAGCAGAGTCTAGTTCTCAGTGTTCTGAAGGGTACTTTTTTTTTCTTCCTATTACTAAGTTTGTTGGTACAGTTTGGATATCAGTCACATTTGTCATAGGGAATTTATACCTATACATGATACATCGCGCGTGTGTGTGTGTGTGTGTGTGTGTGTGTGTTTGAGACAAGGTCTTGCTATGCAGTTCAGGCTGGCCTTGAGCTCCTTTTGTAGCCCAGGCTGGTCTTGAATTTGCAACAATCCTCCTGCCTCACCTTCCTGAGTGCTGGGATTATATGTGTGCACCACCGTGCCTGGCAAGTTTATGATTTCATCATATTTCCAGGGTGATGTATTTGTAATACAGGCTTTCAGAAGTTAAGTGACATCCCCTAATCCTGTACTTGGAATTGAAGCCAAGTTACTCTATCACTGAGCGATATCCCCAATCCTTCTTACTTTTTGCATTTTTAGGAAGGAGATTTGTAAGTTTCTCAGGCTGTCAAGCTATAGACTTCCTGCCTTAGCTTCCCCGTTAACTATGATTACATGTATATGCCATTGCACCTAGCAAAATGGTATTTTTTGAGGGGAAAATCCCCAGCTAGATGATAAGAAAGGCTCATAAAAGTCCCTTCATTAGAGGATTACTATGAAATAATAATTTAGCCAGGCATGGTGGTGTACCCCTATACTCTTAGCACTTGGGAAGCTGAGGCAGGAGGATTGCTGCAAGTTTAAATGCATCCTGGGCTCCATAGTGAGTTTAAGGCCAGCCTGAACTACATAGTGAGACCCTGTCTAAAAAAGCCAAAAAAAATTTTTTTTGTGTGTGTTGGAATTTCAAGGAGAGACTGAGTTCATTGACTAAAACAGTGGAAAGTGTCTTTTTATAGAGGAGTGGGACTTGTTTGCTTTTTAGCATACATCTTTTGGGGTCTCTTTTTTGGGGGGGGTCTCAATGCATATCACTTCATTTTTCTTTCATTTTTCTTTGGAAGTTTACTTATCTTAAAGATCATGATTGGTATTGGCTGTCTTTGAATTCTGTCAAGTTCAGTGATTCCTTCATAGGGCTGCTATTGGTTTAGTTTGGTTTCTGAAAAGCAATGTATGATCTTTTCAGGATTTATAGTCTTTGTAGTGAGCTGTTATTTTTAGCCATGTGTTTACTGTAGAGCTTAGCATGTAGTATACATTTTATTAATGTGATTTTTTTTTTTTTTTTCTTTTTGCAGTGATTATTTATTCAAGTTACTTCTGATTGGCGACTCTGGGGTTGGAAAATCTTGCCTCCTTCTTAGGTTTGCAGTAAGTTGAAATTAAAATGCTTTTACTGTTAATGGTATAGTTAGTGATATGATTAATGCCATAATACTGTGTGTTTTCTAGGTAGACATAAAATTAAACAATTTTATTCAGAGTGAATTCACATATATATATATCTCTCAAAGCCTCCAAATATATGTTGCTAGTGGTATCTTGAACTGTTAAGTGTGTGTGTGTGTGTGTGTGTTTTTTTTATTTTGAAACAGTGTCTTGCTATGCAGTTCAGGCTGGCCTTGAACTCGCTATAGTGCCTAGACTGGCCTCATCGTTATCCTCCTGCCTCAGCCTCTCAACACTGGGATAATAGGTGTGTGCCACCACACCTAGGTGGATTGTTAAATGTTTTTTTTTTTGGGTACCAGAATCAAAATATTGCTCTTAAAAGACATTCACCTTAATAAAAAAAAAATTCACCTGGGTGTGTGTGTGCACACCTATAATCCTATGGTGAGTTCAAGGCCAGCTGGAACTACCTGGTGGGACCCTGTCTCAAAAAACCAAGGAAAAAAAATTCTGCAAACTCTGGTTATTAAAGCATCTATTATGTTAGTGGTTCATTCTGATTAGAGGCAGTGAGATAGAGGGGTAATAGTTGGCCTTTGTTTTTTTTGTTTGTTTGTTTGGTTGGGTTTGGTTTTTTTCCCCCGGTACCAGGAATCGAACTCACAACCTTGCACTTGCCAGGCAGGCGCTGTGCCGCTGAGCTAAATCTCCAGCCCCTAGTTGGCCTTTGTTGAGAGTGATATTTTAAAAATGTTTTTAAAATGTAATACTGCTTATTTAACTTCAAAAATATTTCAGGATTTCAGACAAAAAAATTAACAGAATGTTGCAAATTGTGTTTAATTACAGAAGGTTCTTGAACTTTCATCGATGCAGTGGCTCTTTGCTGAGAATGAATGAAGGGAAGAATTCTACAGTTAATATAAAAAGAGTAAATTGCTGGGTGTGGTGGCACACATCTGTAATTTCAGCACCTAGGAGGCTGAGGCAGTAGGACTGAGTTTTGAGGCCTGCTCAGACTACGTAGTGAGTTCAAGGCAAACCTGAACGGCAAAGGGAGATCCTGTCTTAACCCCCCTCCCCCCAAAAAACAGTTTAAATCTGCTACACTTTACATTTCAGTGCTCATGACAGAGCAACATAATGAAATGTGTTCTTTTCAAATTCTTGTTCCTTGAATTTTCTAGGTAACATGAATTTCATGCAAAAATCAAAAAAATTTCAATCTTTGGCATAAATGGGTTAACTAAAAAAATTTCAAGCACTTCTCATGCCAATAAAGAAATCTTAGAGGGGGCTGGGGATATAGCTCAGTGGCACAAGCACCTACCTGTCAAATGCAAGGTCCTGAGTTTGAGTCCCAGTACCAAAAAAAAAAAAAAAAAAAAAAGTCCCCTTGTTTCGGAAATCTTAGAGAAACCTTCAGGATAGATTTTAGTAAAGGAAAAGGTGCTGGGACTCTTGGCCCAGACTTTTTGGACAGTGGTATAGTGTTGTGTATGTTGAGACTGTTGAAACTGATAAGTAACTTTTGGCATGATAGAATCTGGTTTCCTTCATGCCTTTGTTACTTACCGTTAAGTTTAGCATGTTTTCACTTTGGTCTAGATTATTGATTCTCAGAGCATGGACCAAAGACTCCTGGGGGTAGCTAAGACTCTCACAGGGAGTCTCTTAGATCAAAAGTGTTACACATGATCGTTGTTGTCATCATCATATTAATATATTTGTGTTTAAAAGTAAGTACTATAGGGGCTGGGGATTTAGCTCAGAAGGCAAAGCGCCTGGCTGGCAAGCGCAAGGTCGTGAGTTCGGTTCCCGGTACCGGAGAAAAACAAAAAAAAACAAAAAAAAACAAAAAAAAAAACCAAACAAATAAAAGTAAGTACTATAGAGTGAATCCAGGGTCTTCCCAAGCTGGACATTCACTGCCACTTACACTCCAGTCCAAAAATAAATATTTAATTAGGAGTAATACTAAGACAAAAGACATCTGCCCTTTCACTGTTATTTGCTCTGATGGTTCAAAAACAGGGCTGCTACTGCCTTAGTACATGTATTTTTTTTTTTTTTTTTTTTTTTTA